ATTTCAACTTTATTGAGGTATAATTAACATATAGAAATGTCAGGATTTCCTTCTTTCTCATGGTTGAATAATATTCCATTATATATATATATATATATATATATATATATATATATATATATCTCACACTTTCTTTATCTATTTATCCATTGATGGACACTGAAGTTGTTTCCATATCTTGGCTATTGTGAATAATGTTGCAACAAACAGGGGATGTACAGATATCTATCTCTTCAAGGTCTCATTCTTGTAAGGTCTTACCACTTTGGCTTACCCTAGATTTCTTTGTCACTCTCCTCCCTCTCCCATTAGACTGCACTCTGAAATAAGAATGGGAAGGAAGGCGAGAGTCCAATATATTTCAAGTTTAGAATAGAGAGAACACCACATCTGCTGGGAAGGGGGTAAAGAGTGATGCTGACGCCTTGACGTTTTGGAGGCTGGTCAAAGGTGGTTGGGTCAGTTGCAGGAGTTATCGTGTATCCCTGATCTCCAGGAGAAGTGCACACATGGTAGTTATATGTGTTTTCCTTCAAACTGGTTGCCAGGTTGGAATGACTGATGACATCAGAGGCTTCCGACCTTCTTGATTGGAGGGACCAAACTCCGTGGTGCCTGGCAGCAGAAGTGGACAACAGTATCTTCTCAGAACTCTTCTCCACTCATAGCTCCTGCTCAGCTTGGAGAAGGGATAACGGGCTTGTGTGTTCAGCCAGAATCCACAGGAGTTTGGACAGATCAGAGTCTAGCTTACATAGAAGGGAAGAGTTTGGGAGAAATCATGGCCAGGTGTCAACCACGTTTCCAGTCCGAGGACCAGAGACCCCAGCCTAACTTCTCAGGGTCCCCCCTGCAGGTGATAGTGGGCGAAGAAATCCCAGGACCACCAGGTGAGGAAACTGGAGGGAGAAGGAATGTGAGAGGGTTGACCATTGAGGAAGAAGGGGTACATGAGTAGGGTGTGTGTGAAAGAAGGGAGTGATTGAGAAAGCCAGGGATTGAAGGAGAGTACAGCATCTGGGGACAAGGATATCCCAGTGGAAGGAAACCTGGGAAACCAGGAAGGAGAGTTAGGAGATGAGATCCAAGGATGAAAGAAGAGAAGAGAGGAAACAGTAGAGGCTTCCTTGTCCCTCTCCCAATGGGAGAGACCTCTCTAACGAGGAAGAGTTTTGCGGACAGGGAAATGGAACAATGGCAAGATCAGTGGTGGGGAGATGGATATCACCAAAGGAGAAAGCTGCAGAGAGAGTGTGGGAGAAGACCAGTAGCCTATGAGACTGGAGAGAATGGAGGGGTTTGTGTTTTGGGGGGTAAGTGGGGATGGGGTTTGGGTGACCAGTAACAGAATTCCAAAGACAAAAGCTTTATATTGTATCCTGGATTCTTTATTCAGACCCCCGGGTAGATTCCAGTCCCCTGCCTCAGTCCCCTGGCCGAAAGAGGAGGAGGGAGTGGTCAGCAGAGGAAGAGGAGGAGACTGCCCCTGGAGCTGAGGACATGTGGGTCGTGGAGATGCTGTGTGGGCTCAAGATGAAATTGAAGAGGCAGCGGGTGTCTCCAGTTCTACCTGAACACCATGAGGTCTTCAAAAGGCTGCTCGGTAGGAAGAGACCCTGGAGAGCACCCTCCAGTCCTACTCTTGTTTTTTTTTTTTGAAGAAATTTCCAATGCCTACACTTGTGCAATGGAAAAGAATTCCATGCTATTAATAATTGGTGAGCTCTCTGTCCTAGGAGAACTCCATATTGATCGCTCATTGGGGCACTTAGAAATGATACAAGATTAGACTAGACTTGAAAAGGGTCTGCACTTGGGATCAGAAAACTTGGTTTCAACTGTACCCTCTGAGACTTCTTAGCACTGACTAAGCAGCCTTTTAAATTTAAATACCTTCTTCTGTGTAAGAATAATAAGGCCATCTTTGCACCCTGATGTGACTGTCAATTGAGAAAATGACTGAATGAGTATGGTGTCTTCAGTGGTACATGCACGCATGATGAGGGAGCATCACTGATTTAAGATCTGACATGCAGGTATTCTCCTGACACCCTACCTCTCACTCAGACACCCCGATAGGCAGACACCACTGCTGCCTTGTCGGTGAACTGTCTCCTCCCCACACTCCCATTAGCCTCACCCTTTGCCACAATCCCGAAACCTCCCCAGGAGAGGCATAGTTCTTCTCTTTGCTCTGGGACATTCCCATGGCAGCCCTGTTCCAGCTGTCAGCCTGACACATGCCCTCTTTTCACAGAGGATCCTGTCATTAAAAGATTCCTAGCCTGGGACAGAAATCTGAGGGTGTCTGACAAGGTAAGAGGAATTCCTGCTCCACCATCCATCTGTGGCAGTGGAGAGCTTTCCGAACCCACGGCTCTACTTCTCTGTCCAACCTGACGCCTTGTCACCACTTCCCTTTGGGGGCCTAGTGGTTTCTTGCAGTGTGGACTGGCAGCCCTGCCTTTTCCCTGGCTCCTCTGAAATCTGAGCTCAAGGCTTGCCCCTTTGGTTGTTGGCACATTAAATTCCATCTCCTCACAGCTCTTGGGGATCCCCCTTTGCTCCAGCTGCTCAAAAACCCTCCTGATGCCAGATGTCCTAAACAAATGCCCTCGAACCTTCAGAGATTGCTGTCCTGAGCATCATAAAGTCTTCCCATGACTTCTGGGTTTGCGACCCACCTTCTGACAGCTCCTCCTACCCCCCCCCCAATAAGCAGCTCCCCTCAACACCGGGGTCTCTACTCCCAGTGGCAATACCTGCCCCCAGCCTCCCTTATCTCACTGTTCTTCCCTTCCACAATGTGACCCCTCTTGTGCGGTGTTTTTCTTCTTTCCATCAGTATCTCCTATCTATGGTCATAGCTTATTTTAGCCGTGCTGGCCTCTTCTCCTGGCAGTACCAGCGAATTCATTTCTTCCTGGCCCTGTGAGTATTCGGCTTAATCCCATCTGTCAATAGTCATACCCTAGGGGGTGGAGGGAGAGAAGGGGGACTCTGAGCCTTCATCCATTTTTTTAACCTATTTGTATGTACTCTGTGTGTAAAAATAATAGGATTATATTGTAGTATAGTGTTCTTTATACCAACAACCCTAATGTCAGCTAAAAGACTGAACAAAACAAAACAAACACAAAACCCCAAATGAAAGAATTGACATTCCCCTGCCCCCAAGCAAATAGGCTTTAGACTAACCATTTCCAATCCCTCTGTCACACTCTTTCCCATATCTTTACCAAGTAGAATTGTCTTCTTCCTCAGTTCAGGCCCTCATTACAACAACACAGATCTACTGTAACATGCTCCCAGGGATGTTTCTTACAAGTCTCTCTGAATATCCTTCCAAAACACAGGTCTAAACCCCTTCACTGCCCTGATCAACGATCTCATAGGCTAATTATGCTCTAAATTCAGGCCAGAGTTCTCAGTTTGAATTCTACTCTCTCTACAATCCCTATCAAACTGGGTACTGTCCTGACGTTTCATTCCTTTGCTTCACTGCTCTTCCAGATACACGCCCCTCTGTTTTCATATTGTGTTTTCTGCCTAGGTCTCTTTTACAAATATGTATCTAAAACAATGGCCTATTCTTAAAGTCGGTTCAAACACCAAAATCTTCGTGATACCTTTTCTGACCTCCCTAAATTCTGCACTTTAATTAAAATTCTATTACAATGTGATATTTTGGATTATAATAGTTATTTCTTATCTCCCCTCTTCCCCAACCCCAATCCCATTAGACATCTGTTGAAGGCAGCAGGTCTTGTCCAAATTTCACTGCATTCTTAAAACACGCAGCACAATTCCTTTCATTTTGCAAATGTTCGAGTTATATTGAGTCTATGATGTAGTCATTTTGCATTTGACTATGAAACAAAGTATTCATTCATTCATTGTAGGAAACCTTATAAAGTGCACCTAGTGCTAGGGAATGTGAGGTGATGGGAAGGGAGGTTCAAGAAGTGCTGTTGAATTAATGCACCAATATGAACCTATGTTAGTCATTTGGTAGGAAAGTGATGAATACGGAAATAGATCAGTCAGTCCCTACCCTCAGGAAATGTAGAGGTACTTACACTAGAGTGAGACAGGTGTGTGCACACACACAGATGGAAGGGAAGGGGGCTGAGGATGGGGACGGGAAAATTGTGATGGAAACTGCATTGCCTGAGGGATAGGGGGAAGGGCCCTCAGGCTGCCCCGCTGAATTTTGTCTTCATCATTAAGGTATGAGAGGTGCCCTTCAGGTCCCTGCCCAGCAGTGGCTTCTTGATGACCAGGTGGCACTCTGTGACACTGGGTAGGGCTTGTGTAGGTCCTGTGTGATGATGATCAGCCTGTGTCCTTTCTAGGAAGCTGACCTTAGGTGGGGGTCCTTCCTCTCCTGCTCCTGACCTGCAGTCTGCTGTCTTTCCCCAGTTACCTGGCCAATGATATGGAAGAGGATAACCAGGCCCCCAAACAGGCCATCTTTTCCTTCCTCTATGGGAAGAACCTCTCCCAGCGTTCTTTGTTCCACAAACTGCGATTCCAATTCTTCCGTTTCATGGGCTGGAAGACAAGGGTCACCAAGGAAGAGTGTGAGGAGGTGGGTGGGATGTGGGAATCTGGGGGAGGGGGATCAGATTGGAGGGAGAAGGGATCATGGAGGATCAGAGTTGGGATTTGGGGATGAAAGAATTGGGGGTTGGACAAAGGAAAGGAGGGGAGTCACTTGGAGAATCATCATCTTATCAGGAGGCTGTTTGCCTTTCTAGATCCAGGCCTTTGATCCAGAGCTCTGGGTATGGAAGCGAGATCGTGCCCTCATTCCTGAGATGATGGAGGCCTGAGGTCATTGGCCTGAAGGAAGGTAGGTCTGTGTCCTCACAGGTGCAGATGGGATGACTTGTTGTCCATTTAGGAAATCTGAGAAACCCAATTGCTGGACCCATGCTCACTGCCCCCCACCCTCATCACCCTCACCAACACACTGTGAAGTAGACCCAACACGCATAAAGCCAGGCACTGCCTCAGCTCCCAGCCACAAGCTGACAGCCACACATAGGCAGCGGGATGTGTGGGTGCCTGACTTCAAGATTTGGCTAAAATCATTTCACCCAAAGCAATTGGGTCCAAATAACAGTTTTGATGAAATGTTGATTTTTATGAAAAGTCAATGTTTCCAATTTTTTCCATATATTGTGTTTTGACATTCTCTTGCTAATTCATTCTGGCCTTCTCATCCCTCAGGAATATAAGGATTTGTCTATATAAAATTCCAACCATAAGGATTTCTCTACAACAAAGTAAATATCTAACAATTGGATACTAGATGGAAAAGTCTATCTATCCAATAATAAAAGATAAATTATGACTAGCTGTATTTTCATCCAAATTTACTTTCAAACAAATTGCTTATGGGCAGGTCACCAATGTGTTCTTCATGTACCCAACCTACCACTTCTGGACCAATCTCTTCTCTTGTACAATTACACCTTTCCCCTTCAAGTATATGGTCAAGGAAGTGTGTCAGAATGAGTGCAGGCTGAGGAACACTGATTTCAGCATGGCTTATTGTGATAGCCACACCAGAGTTACAGATTTGGGCAGAGTGAATCCGATTAAGCAAAGATTTGGTTTAAACCTTGTGAACTAGAATCTTAGTCCATTTGGGCTGCTATAACAAACTACCACAGAATGGGTGTCTTATAAACAACAGACATTTCTTTCTTTTTTAAAGATTTTTTTTTATTGGGGAATTGGGGGATGGGAACAGCGCTGAGGAATTGGGGGAAGGGGAACAGACAAGTTGCTATCCTTTTATTCTTCAGTCTAGTTGTGGAGGATGTTGCTTCACTGGCCCAAGTTGTCACCATCACTGCGCTCTTCCCGGGCGAGACAGATCAGTCGCTGGCTTCTGGATGGGCCGCTCACTGCGGCTGCTGGCCGCTCACTCTGGCTGCTGGCTACACACGGTAGCCCGTGGCAACCCACTGCAGCTTACGCTGTCGCCGGCAACTCATGGCAGCCCAGCTCCAGTTTGAGCTGTTGTTCAGCATCTTAGCTGTAGAGGGCAGTGTCACTGGCCCTCATATGTGGGATCCAAACCGGGGCCCTCTGGCATTCCAAGCCAGCTCTTAACCAACGCGCCACTCGGCCGGCCCCAGACATTTATTTCTCACAGTTTTGGAGGTTGGAATTCTAAGATCAGGTGCCAACATGGTTGGGTTCTGGTAAAGACCCTCTTCTGTGTTGCAGATTGCCAACTTCTCACCATGTCCTCACATGGTGGCAGGGGTGAGGGAGCTCTCTGGGCATCTGCTATAAAGGCACTAATCACATTCATAAGGGCTCCACCTCATGACGTAATCACCTTCCAAAGGCCCTACATCCTAATACCATCACCTTAGGGGTTAGGATTTCAACATATGAATTTGGGGAGACAAAAACATTTGGACCATAACAGCAGCCACATTTAAGACTCAGTATGATGGTTAAACATTAGGATCTAGGGTTAGGGTTAGGGATCAGGCATCTGGTCTCATGGTTTGTTTGTGATGATGACATGGTAGTGATATTTGTAGTGTGGTTAGAAATTCTTATTTTAAGTAGTACAAAAGGACCAGGGTGTGAGTAAGCCTAAAGCAACACTGTCTCTATGTGCTCTACTTCCTGAGCAGAAAGGAAGTATATCACCTTGCTATAAAGCAGATTACTGAGCCTGACCTTAGGTGTATTAAGTAATTTTTGGACTCAGGGTCATCAAATTTCAAGAATCACACTTGAAAATAAAGGTTCAGGACTGAGGTTGAGAATGGAGGATAAGAGGTAAAATTGGATTTAGAAGTTAGGCTAAACTCTAGTTAGAATTGACTACAAATGTGAATATATCTGGTGAGTTGCCTTTTTGAAATGTGACATTCTCTCTCCTCTTACTTCTAGATCACTGAGCCCAGGGGAGATTCAAGTTTTCAGCAGGAAGTCAATCCAGACATTAATGACAGACATGAGGAAGGGAAAGAGGAGCCTCTTAAGAAGATAATCTAGAAGAACCCTGAATATTCTAGAATGAGCAGAATATAGTTATCATGTTGTAGTCCTAGGAGCTGGGGATACAACTTCTAGGAGTCTGTGGAAGGACAATAAAAAACCAGGGTTTTTTCAGGTTCCATTCCTTCCTAAGACACAACCCAAAATTTCAGGTTGTTTAAAATCTCTGAGGTAGAAGTTGGAAGTCCCATTTTTTATACACTTGGTTGACATAGTCTAGAACCATTTGAAGGTGGCATGTAAGGGCTCAGAATAAGACAGAATTACTTTAAATGTATAAAATTGGAGTCATAAGATTGTGGTAGATAGTTTTATGTATGCCATAAATTTTATTGGCTTATTTTGAAAATGTTGCCAGTAGGATTATTATATTTATTTATATATTTATTTTAAATAGTTTTGAAATAGTCATAGTTTTGAAAACATGCTTCTTACAAAGTTTTCTGATGCATATTATAACATATATATGTGAATATAATTTCGTTTATACTTTCAGGAGAGGTTTTTGAGGTTTTTATCTATTATATTTATATAATATAAATTATATATATAGCTATTTGGGTAGTTCCCCAAAATTCTTGTTAAATATAAATTTTTATTTTTTGGTCTTGCTGGATGACATGTTTGTATGTTATTTTAGATTATTAAAGAGGATAGCACAATGTATCTCTTGGGGAAATATAATAAAGATGAAAGTATAACCTTCACGATGTGTGTGGTCTTACCAGTCTGGCTTGCCTGTTCACTGTCAAATGATAATATTACTTAATGGAGTTGAGATTATGCAACCAAATTTATTTTCCCTAAAAAATAATCCTGAATTACTTTTCACGTAGAAAAATCAATCAAAGTTGGGGCAGATCCTGAGCTAGAGTCTGAAAGCAGGAAACAAGAAGATATTGAGGGAGGGAAATGGGAATAGTAAAAAGAAGGAAGAAAGCACTATGGATACCTAGACAATAATCTGAAATTCAAAATAAAGAAAAGGTGACTCAACAAGACATGTATTCTTGGAAATGGGCTGTGACAAGCGGAACCCCTAACACAAGAGAACACACACAGTGCTCACTATTTTAATCCTAATTGGAGTTCTTTTCACAACCTCCATTTCCAGTTTTATGCGGTAAAAGGAAAATCTAGAGCGTTTGGTGAAATAAAATATGGAAAAGAAAAGAGGGTATACAAGAAATTTCTGGGGAAAAAAGAGAGAAGATAGGAAGAGCTAAAACTGTTAAAATAGGCATGGAGAAGAAGGAGCTAATAACTCTAATTCTGAATTATTAGAGGAAAGCGTCTTGGGAGATGATAGCATCAGAGAATACTAAAACAGTCCGAAATACCAAGTTTCCGTGCCCTCAGGATGGTCCACCCTCCCAGCACATAAGATACGTTTCACCAATCAGAGAAGCTCACCTGAGCTTTAATGGACCCAAGTTTTTACCAGGGTTTCATTATGTAGTCACGAGTTTTTCTATCACTGGCCATGCAATTGAATTCAATCTCCAGCCCCCTTCCCACGCCCAGAGACCTGGCTAAGATCGCATGGCTCAAAACCCAGACCCTATAATCACAGGATTGGTCTTTCTCTTCAGGAGGTAAAGTAATGGGTAATTTTCTTGTCTCAATTTCGTGTTTTACGATTTTTGTACAGTCCTCACGAATTACAAGTGCTTTGGAAAAGCTAGGCTTCTTTTTTCCCAACGAGGGGGAGGAAGGTATGCCAGGCTAATACCCTATTACGTTATCGCAGGACTCTGTTTACTAAGGTTTACTTAAATGTCTCACTTATCGCAAACGAACATGATATACCCGTATCCTTTATTTATCAGAGTTGTCTGTGGTCACTGATTGTAAGCCTTAAGCTCTCAAGGTAAGTAAAGGACTAGGGCGCCGGTGCACAATCAGGAAAGACACCGCGTGCAGAGGCGACAGTTCCTTTAAATTAAGGGGAAATTTGAGTTCTGGGTCCGGTTGGCGAGTCCTTTAAAAAAGGCAGCGCCTGTTAACCGCTGGAAGAGGTAGACTAACTATTAAGACCGTCCCTAACATGACGGCCTGCAGACTTTTGGGAAATAGAGTCCTGCTATTCGTCCCGCTACCCCGGTTGGGCCCTGCCAGGCCGAGTTCCGGCGCCCTCCTGCGCATGCGCACCTCACCCTGTGTGCGTGTTCGCGCACGCGCACTGCCGCCGCGCTGCTGTCGCTTCCTGTCGGTGCCCAGGTCACCGCTGGTCCTGGTTCCCAGGCTTTAGCCTCCTGCGGGCGAGGATCCCGGGGCTTGGGGACTGGATGCTGTCCGGCCGGGCCGGCACCCAGCAGGCGTGAGGCTTTGCGGGCAGGGTTCGCTCAGGCGGGCGGAGACTCGAGCGGGGACCCCCGGGCGCGACCCCGGAGCTCGCGGGCCAGGCCCGAGGGGCCGAGCGGCGGAGCAGGGGCGGCGGGCTCCGGACCCGGCCCGTCTGCATCGCGGCGGCCTGGCAGAGGCGCACGGCACAGTGAGGCCCCCGGGAGGAACGTTTTCCTGGGTGAGTTTGTCCCGTAGGCCCAGAGCCGGCTCCTCGGAACAGCGGCCTTGGGAGGCGGAGAGGCGGGGACCCAGGGAGAGAAGCGCCGGAGGGGCAGCCTCCATCCTGCAGCCTCGGGAGCCTTAGGGCAGATCAGCGAGTCCCGAAGGGGTAGGGCCTCGGGGCAGTTGTGGATCTTCCCACCCGCGGTGAGCAGGGTTGGGGGTAACTCGCCCCGGGCCAAGGACCCGAGAGTGTGCGACAGGGAGGGTTTGACGGCTTCCCGGAGATCCGAGTGCCTGGGCAGGCTGCTCCGGAATGGGCGCTCCCCTGAGACGTGAGAGTTGTAGGTTTCCCCGGGGAGCAGGGGGTCACAGCCTCCACCGCGGATGTGTGGTGTCCCCTCGTCCCCCCACACCCCAACGCCCCTTCTTCTGCCCCTGCCCAGATTCCACACGGGACTGTAAGGGTCCAAGAGGACCTTGTTGTCTGGCCTGTGTGTGTGCAGATTCCCCTGGTTCTGCCCTGTGGAGTCAACAGCAGTGCAGGATAGGTCTGCAAGGGTTATGTCCTGCTGCCTGGGTTGACAGGATGAGACTGGGCCTGAGAAGGGAGGTGACTTGTCCAAGGTTAGTTACCAGGTGTGTAGGTGGGATGGTTAACAGGACTCAGACTCCCAGGCCAAGTGTTGTGTCCACTGTATTACCGTTTTCTTAATAAAAGATTCTCAGGTGCATGGTATCCAAGATCAGTCTGATAAAAAAACAAAACCATGCCTTGAATGCACATTTACCTCATTTTTGAGAGCTCATCTTTTGCGTTTCTGTGGATTTTTTCATTTTAATCAATTTAAATAGACAATAAGAAAATATGCAATCAGCATAATGGGAAGTTTTTTCACCTTTTGCTTATTGATGGCAAACTATTTGAAAAAGGTGTCAATATTTATATTCACCAGCGACAATAATCCACCTAATTACCTCTGATTGAATTCTTAGTTACAACAAATGGCCCTGGCGTATCTTTCTCCTGTTACCACCCTTTTAACACCCTCTGTTTACAGGATGTCATTTTATTGAGCTTTCTTTGGTGGTTCTTATGCAGGAGGTTCCTGCCTAGGCAGGCAGATTACTGGTGACTTCAGCTACTTGCTTCCTCTCCCCTAGGTCCACTGTTAACAACCTCTACACTTTTCCAAGAGCAGCAGAAAATGCATGAATCCCAGGTGAGTTTCCCTGTCTGTGTATATGTTTTCCCACTTTGCTTTGTTACGCATTTTAGGAGGTTTATGTGGATCCATACTTTAAAATGGAAACAGAAATAGATAACAGACATTATGTAAAATGTGGTTATTACAGTGTCAGATCAGCTTGAAGAATCTGTCAAATTTGTATGAATAGGAAATATGATACTTTAGGGCTATCGAAGGTGAGCTGTAAATGTGACTGATGATGTTGACAATCATAGAAAAATGAAAATACCATCCATGACGGGATTGCATTGACTAATAAGAAACTGTTTTTGTTAGTTGTGTGTTGTAAAGATTTCTTTGGACTTGGAAAATGTCTTTAATAAAGTTTATATCATGTGGATAGCTTCCCTAGTAACATCCAGTAAATCATGCAATATGTGGCTTATACTGGCTTTTGTAAGCAGAGACATGCTGCCCGAGGAGAACTTGGCGCATGGGATTTTTCCAAATAGACACATTTACATTTTTACTGTTTAATCCAGGGGTAAAAGCTAAGTCATAGGGGAGTGGCCTGCTCATCCTTCAGATATTTCCGTTAGTCTGTTTATTTGGTTGCCCAGCAAACAATACAAACAGGCATTCTCTAGTAAAGATGTTGTCATTTCCCATTCCCATTTCAATTCTCAGTGTCTTGGTTTTGTCCTTACCACCTTCCTGCATCTGTTGGTAAAGATTAGCAGTGACCTAATTATAGTAAAATCCAGTGGATATTTTCCAGTCCTTACCTCAAGTGACGATTCATTCGTCTGCTCTTGACATCTGTTACTTCCAAACTGGTATTTTCTTCACTGAGTCTCCCTTTTCTTGACTTTAAAAAAATTTTACCTGTAATTATTTCTGTATGTATCTTTAAACGATAAGGAGTCTTGTAAAAAGTGGGTGGGGATAACCCATAATACCATTCTTTCTTATATGACATCCAGTGTTCAAAGTTCTGCAGTTTTCTAATGTTTTTTGGCTTGTTCTTTTCAATCAAGATACAAATAGAATCCATAAAGTGGAGTTGTTTGATAGGTCTTTTAGATCTTTTAATAGAAACTACCCCTTTATATCTCTTGTATTATTTCTTTGCAATTTGTTTTTTGAAGAAATGGGGTTGTTTATCCTCAGTTACGCACAGTCAGGATTGTGTTGATTGCATTGTCTTCTTTTTACTTGACTTTTTTTTTCCATGTACGTCTTGTAAAATTGGTGAAGCTGGAAGTTTTAGGTTCAGTCCTTTTAGGCAAGACTGTGTTGTCCATGACACTGTGCCTTCTTTCTCCTGGGGGCCCATATTACCCACCTGTCTGTGTTTGGTGATGTTGGCATCTGCTGATTGCTATT